ACTTGGACTTGGGGGTTTGTGCTTTAGGTTTTGACTCTGGGATTTATAAGTCTGGGTTTTTGGCTCCTTTGAGTCTGGGTTTCACACTCTAGGTTCCAGACACTAAGGTTAAGACTCTCAGGCTCAGAATCTAGGATTCAGACTCTTGGGTTTGGACTCAGGGATTGCTCTCATTGGGCTTTGGAGTTTGGACATTGGGGTCTGGACTCTAGACATCAAACTCTGGGGTTTTGACTTCAGGATTTGGATTCTACTCTAGGTTTCACGCTCTGGGTGTCAGACTTTGGGGTTGCACCTCAGGTTTGGACCTTGGTGTTTGGACTCAGGGATTGGACTCACTGGGTTCGACTTCCATGGTTCACACTCCTGTGATTGGGGCTTTGGAGTTTGGGGTCTGGAATCTAGAAATCAAACTCTGGGGTTTAGACTCTGGGACTTGGCCTCTGGGGTTTATAATTTAGGTTTTGGACTCTGGAAGGTTTTGGGCTCTGGAATTTGGACACTTGGGTTCAGACTCCAGGTTTCACACTCCAGGTTTCAGACTCTGGGGTTGAGACTTCCAGGTTCGGACCCTGGGGTTTTGGCTCCTGGCTTTTAGTCTCCCAATAGAGCTACTGTATGGAAGCACTGCACATGGCAGGTTGTAACACACAGTATCACAGTACCTCTCAGGTCACAGTTAAACAAGGCTGTCAGGCAAGCTCGACAGAGTGCTCTCTGCAGTCTGTGTGCACGCTTGAGTGTTGGCCTTAATGTCATTACACACTGTGTGCGCATTATTGATTAATCTAACCAGGCTTATTGCCCTGCTCCCCCAGCCTCTCTCCTCCATCTCTGCACCTGCATGGGTAGATCTACTACAGCACAACCCTCTCCTCTCCTCTCCTCTTCTCAGTCCATCTCTGCCTGCTTTATATTCATTCGCTTGTATTGTCTTTCTTCCACATCTCTCCATCTCCCCCTCTCTTTCACTTACTCTGGCTCTCTCTGCTTTATATGCACCTCTGTGTTGTCATTGCCCTCCCTCCTTCTCCGTGTTTCATATTCATTTCTTCCTATTGAGCCCTTCCCCTCCCTCCCTTTCTCTCCCTCCTTCTCTCTTTCTCTGGAAGAGATTATTAATATTAATGTCTCTGTCTCTTCCTCTCCTTCTATCTCTCCTCTCCCGTTCCTCCCAAATCTCTCTTCTCCTCCGCCCTCGATCTCTCTAATATTTCCCCCTTTTCCACTGTTTCTCGCCGCCTTGACTGTCTCTCTCCCCTCCCTCCCTCCCCTCTTCTCTCTTTATCTTCATCTCTCTCTTAGACTCTTCCCCCTTTCTGTAGCTGTTCTGTATTCATCTATTAGTGTTGATAATTCCCTTCTCTCCCTGCGGCTGTACAGTCATCTATCAGTTTAATAATCCCTCGTTCTTTCTCTCCTCACCCCCTAGATTTTTTTTTTTTGTGCCAGGCTTGAAGACTCCCCGTGTCAAATGAGTTTTTGTGTCTGTGTCCCATCATTAGGACTATCATCATTAATAACGGCCTGCGTTTCACCAGATTTGCCCTTATATAAGGTTACCCGGGTCTAAATAACCTGCAGTGAGATCGGAACTCTCCTGCTCAGGGTCCGTCCTGAATTAGCCATCCATCAAAGTAAACGCACTGCGCCATCGTACGTCCTCGTTGTGGCCCCAGGAGCTTATGGGTTCCTGCAGACGCGAGGATTAGCACAATGACCCGCAGCAGCTATATTACGCTGGTAGACACCTGAGGATTAGGAATGTAACTCTGGCGTTAATGAGGTGTAAATGTGGACTTGTGTATTTTGTCTCGCATCTGTATAACAAGCAAAGTGCCAGGCTAAAGAAACCTTTCAAGACCTAAGCCTAAAGCGGGGCATAAAGTACGCTGGGTGATATACCCTGTACACCGGAAAAGCATGATTCGACATGGCATGTTCTTGATTTTTAGTTTTAGAGACATTTGCTCAACATGTCTCATAGATAATAAACACTGGGCCTTCACCAACCGTTCTTCAGAAGAAAACCCACTTAAGATTCTGACATTCACCAATGTTTTCTTATTTGGGTTTCGTTCTTAGGTCAGAACAGAATCTACACACACTCATGAGCACAAAGGTGAGAACAGTTCTGCACTTTAAGAACACGTCATGAAACTGATGTAGACTTTTTCTTAAGATCTTTCTCAAGAACACACTTAAGAAAAGCTTTGGAAGACACTGGTGAATGAGGCCCTTTATGTCCATGATATAACGATGGGGCAATCGTGGGCTGGAGGTTATGGAACCAGCCTTGTGACCGGAAGGTTGCCAGTTTGATCTCCTGAGCTGACAGTACGTTACTGAAGTGCTCAACTGCTTCCCGGGCGCTGTGGATAGGGCTGCCCACCACTATGGACAAGTGTGTTCACTGCCTCCTAGTGTGTGTGTGTTCACTAGTGTGTATGTGGTGTTTCACTGCATGGATGGGTTTAAATGCGGAGGTGAAATTTCTGCGTTGTTGGAATAATAAGTTAAATTAACTTACAAAGTATACTGTAAAAAAAAGATTGTCTTTAAAAAAAGCTTTTTCACTTTTAGATCTAACATGTAAACTTTGAGATCAGCAAAAGCAACATTTACATCAATTTTAATCTCAAAAATCACCCTCTGCTCCTGCACCTTTCACCGTGTATGTAGTCTGCCAAGTGCGGTAGATTACAGTTTCAAATTCATAAAAGTTAAACAAATAGTTCAATTCCTTTCTGTAAATCTTTTTTTATGTTTGGTTAATAATTGCAATAATGTGTTAAGTTTCCTTTGGTGTAATTTTACAAACAACCTGCCAGATTTGTAAGAGAGTCCTCATGGGTTCATTAACTTTATTAATGCAAATTTAATTAAATTAATTTAATTTAATCTCATACCATCACACTGTAAAACATTTGGAAAAGACAAGGCGAGTTTATTTTTACAGCACCTCTTATACACTGCTGTCATTGTCAAGTGCTTTACAAATGAGAAAATACAGGGTCAGAAAATAAAGAGTTAAAAAAAAAGTCAACAAGAATAGAAATTTAAAAACATTAAATTTGAAACAATAGATTTAAAAGTGAAAATCATTAAATTAAAAATCAAATTATACATTTAATTGGTTAAAAAATCAAATTAAAACCAAAAGTTAGATTAGGAAAAAAATGTTATGATGACTTTTATTTTATTTATCTCTCAGGCTTAGTACACAACTTATTATTTTATTTTTAATTTGGTGATATATTATGCTATAATCAGTCTACAGTCAAATGCAAAAGTTTGGTCAGGTTACATGTTTGGTTGATTTTCTAAGTGTAAGTATGTGAGCACATCCTCCACAGAGACACACTTCTGCACATTTGAATGCACAATTACTGTTTAATTGGCGATTTTTAACATATTGGGGAAAAAATATAACAAAAATGTGGCTTGTGAAAAACCTATGTCACATTTTTTTTCTCTCCAATGTATTAAACTCAGAAAAAAAGTAGAAATTGTGCACTAACATTTACAAAAGATGCCATATTTAGGTCTAAGTTTGTTCTCTGTAGAAGACGTATTTACTTTTTTTCACTTAGAAACTCAACAACACATGCAATTCGATCAGTGGTGTTCAAACTTTTGCATGCGACTACATGTCCTATCAAAAAAATACATTCCTTTGGGAATTTTGAATGTGAGATTGCTATCAGAATGAAGTAATAGGTAAACCCTTTATCCTACTTCAACAATGATTCATTGCTCCTGTAATTCTTAACACCAGTGGTCTCCGTTCCTGCTCCTGGAGATCTACTTTCCTGTAGAGTTTAGTTCCACACTGCAAAAAATGGTATCTTGTCAAGGAAAATTATCTTAAATGTAGTCAGTAAATCTAATATTTCTCCTGTTGACATTGTTGTAAACTTAATTTGAGATTATCGAACTTATTTCTAGACATTCTTGTTTTAAGTGATTTTATTAAGTAAAGTTATCTCACTGTATTGGTAGATTGTTTTGCTTATTTTAAGAAATGTGCTTGAAACCTGTAGAATTATCTGCAGGTATATTTTGATAATTTTGTTCAATAAAATCACCTAAAACAAGTAAAAATGTCTATAAATAAGCTGGATAATCTTATCAGTGCACAACCATCTCAAAATGGGAAAAATTAGATATATCGACTAGAATTAAGATCATTTCATCTGACAAGATGCTATTTTTTACAGTGCAACCTGCATCTAACATGCTGCTCCTGCCTTACCTAACACTAATGTATCTGATCCAGCCACTCAAGGACTTCTGAAGATTTTAATTAAGCGGAGCTTAATTAATAAGTAAATAAGTTAATGTAATAATTTCCAAACATTTGCTCATCTTCCTTTAAGCCAGGGCTTCCCAATGCTGGTCCTAGAGCACATGTGTCAGACTCCAGTCCTTGCGGGCCAAAACACTGCAGACTTCAGCACACTGCCTCATTAAACACACCTGATAAAGCTCATCAGCTACTCAGCAAGGCCTTCATGAACTGAGTTCAGAGTGTTAAATGAGGGTAAACGCTAATCTCCGCAGCACTTTGGCCCAGAAGGTCCCCAGTTTGACGTGTCTGTCTTGGAGAGTTCAGATCCAACACACCTGGCTGTGATAGTCAGATGCCTCTGAGGGCTTTATTTTTAGGATCAAGTGTGTTAGATCAGGGTTGGAGCTAAACTCTGCAGGGTGGTAGATCTCCAGGACCAGGAATGGGCTGCCCTGCTTTAACCGTTAAACTAAAGGGTTGTTATCTAATATTAATCTTAAGGCTTTTTATTCAGTAACTATTATAAAACACTAATGAAACAACTAATGTGTAAGTTCTGAAGTTATGAGAGTGAGGAACCGAAGCGTAGACCCACAAACGGGGCGCCTTAAGGGGTTTAACAGGATTCATTTCCATGTTTTTATTTCTCAAGAAGGCAACAAAATGAAGTTCTGCGATCCTGATGTTTCCTCTGTTTTCTCTTTTCCAGTAACACACATATTCCACACAGAGAGGCTTCTCCAATTCTCAGAGGACGCTTTAAGGGAAAAGGAGGCACAGCATATGTAAATGTGTCATATCTTTTAAAAAAATAAACAAGGAAGGAACAAACAGGCGTACCGAGGAGACGGCGGAGCGTTTCACCTGAGAAACAACACAAAACAATGTACGACTAAACTCAAATCGGCGGCTGAGACGCGATACGGATATTTCTGGAACCGGTCTATCATACACCCCTGGATTACGGGAAAGGTCATGACCCAGTTGCCATGCGTATCACCACGGTGACCGGCCTTCCTAGCCCCTCCCCCCTCTTCCTTCTATTGGCCCAGCTGCCGTTGTGGCTCCTCCTCCTTGGCCAAGAGGTAGCAGGAGCCACGTCTACCTGCCCTACACCTTGCAGTTGCTCCAATCAAGCCAGTCGAGTGATCTGTACAAGACAAAACCTGGATGAGGTGCCTGAGAATATATCCAACAACACGCGATACCTCAACTTACAGGAGAACTCGATACAGGTAAGTATTGTCCCGACTGCTTCTTACTCAGCGGCCGTGTTTGTGCGAGTTGTTGAATGTTGATGCCTGTGTTTGCCGGTTGTCTGTCAACACCTTCACAGCTTTAATTACTGAGGCATCGAGAGACTGTAACACAGGCACTGCTTAAACAGTGAGTGAAGGTGGTGTAAGCATCTTTCTGCGCTGAAACACAAATGAAATAGTTGCTGATTCTGTTCGGGCCCTCGTTCAAGTTCAGGGCTCCATTGCTGAATCAGGTGTTACGATGTGACCTAATTTGAAAGCAAGGTACATGTTCGTGGGATTAAAGGGGAATTCCACCCTATTTGTTTTTCAAAATGAGGGCATAATTAAAGGGGTAAGATGTAAACAGCCGTTCAGAGTGGTTTGGTGCGAGAGGCTCCGTTCTAGAGAAACTTGCCGAGAGTTGTTCATAATGTTGGTAATAGGAACCAGACGTCCGCCTCTAAAAGCTCCCTCACAGAAAGTTATTGCATGAAATGGTTATGAATTCACTACCTGATGTCTGAGAAATTGTTTTATGGTAGTCTTGAAATGAAGTTTTGGCCTAAAACACATTTTTTAAAATCCGTTCATGGCAGAGAGCAGTGTACACTGTCAGAAATAAAGGTTCTGTGCAGGTACATTTTTCAGTTACCAAGGTACAAACAGTGTAAATGTTCCCTCAAAGGTACAACAGTGGTTTTAAGGTCTGATTGTGAACCTTAAATAAGTTTTTCCAGGTGAAAAGTACGGAATTTTTCATAACCGAATGTTTTAAAACAGAACAGTAAAATAAAAGCCTGGAGACGAGACGGGGTGTGTGGAGTCAGTACAGCTTAGAACATATCATTTCAGTGGATTATGGTTCAGTTATGTTCCCTGACTAAAGGTACTCGGATGTACCTTTGAGGGTATCACCCCAGTGACAAGAGGGGAACTGCCCCAGTGACAGTTCAGAGTGTAAGGCAAATTAGTCCCCAAAGAATGAACCACAATGAACCATTTCGCATCAAACCACTCTGACCGACTTGCTTACATCAGAGACACACAGTTTCAATAACCCCCGTCTACTTACATGTTTTGTTGGTTTTCTAAGGGAAAATAAGTTAACTGTAAGTTCCCGTTACACTTCCTTACAGTGAATTAAAATATCTTGTTTTTCTGTACATTTTTCTGCAGTTTTTATTTATTTGATTAGTTTGAAACAATGAAAATAATTACATTAGAATGTGCAGAAACTCTAGAACTTTCTCTGTACACTTGCTTTCACTTATAAAATCAACAAAGGATGCAATTGGACGTGGGGCACCCAAACTTTTGCATGTGACTGTGATTAAAGTCAGTGCAGGCAGAAATTTAGAAAAATTGGTGGAATTCCCCTTTAAATAGTAAACAAATGCAGAGAGTTAATCCTTCGTAGTTTGATCTGAAAGGGTTAACAGAAAGCATCCCTATTAAAAATAGAAAAAATAATAATAATACTCATCACGTCTCCCTCTTAGCGTAAAAATTCTGATTTGGTTTGTCGTATCCTGGAGCCCCACTTGAAATGATTAAAAATCTAAAAATGTTTTAACACCTGAAGGCATCCTAGATTTTTTTTTCTTTGGCTTCTTTCTCTCTCATTGCTGTGTACCCCGAGAGTAGAGATTTGACAGTTTCCTCTCCCATCCTCTCTCTGAAACACCCCCAGCCCACTGTGTTTCACACCCACCTCCCCTTCCCTCTGCTTCCCTCCCCTCCCCTCGTGTGGTTCGTATATAGTGAGAGCTGTGGCGGCAGGCCAGGACTAGGCTTCGCTCTCTGCCCAAGGAAAGCAGCTCAGGCTGTCACTAATGTGCCGATTCTCTGTGTAACGCAGCTCTCTGCATCTTCAATGTGTGAAATTGCGGTAGCATTTGAAACCCGTACATCATGTCAAGAGGAATTTGAGCCATCTCTAATGAGAGAGGCCTTGGTTGTGCTCACTGGTTAAGTAAAAATATTTCCATAAAATGAATTATTTTGACACATGCCACGAGAAGACTGCCGCTGCTCCTGGAGATGCGCCCTGTCTGTGTCTTTTTTGAGGTTTTATTAGGTAGTACTGTCAAACAGATGAGCTAACTCTCCTTAGCTAAATGCCTCAACTTTTGACTGCTCTTGTTACAGGGAAATGTTTTATGCGCACTTGCTTTTGAGACTACAATGCATGGCAAATATAGAACAAATAAAACGGGGTTTGTGACTGGCTGCAAACAATGGCTCTGTGCTCAATAGTAATTTGTAGAATGTGTTTTATGCCTAGATCTTTGACTGTACCATTTGTCTAAAGTTTTAGGAGAAACAGACAGTCAAATCAAACCCAGACACGAACACATCAGCAAAGAAACTGTGATTGGGATGTCACATAACTGACAGTTCTATTTATGAAGCGTTAGAAGAAGTGGTATCTAAAATAGCCAACAATTGAACTTTAAGAACCTCATATTTCTAGAATCTCAAAGACATAAATTTAACTTGGACTTGAACTTCTCTCACCCAGGTGATTAGGTCAGATACCTTCAAGCACTTGCGGCACCTGGAGATCCTCCAGCTTTCCAAGAACCACATTCGTCAGATTGAGGTCGGTGCATTCAATGGCCTCCCAAACCTCAACACACTGGAACTGTTCGACAACCGCCTCACGCTGGTGCCATCGCAGGCGTTTGAGTACCTCAGCAAGCTACGGGAGCTCTGGCTTCGCAACAATCCCATCGAGACGCTGCCAGGCTATGCCTTCCACCGGGTGCCCTCCCTTCGTCGCCTTGACCTGGGTGAGCTCAAGAAGCTGGACTATATTTCAGATGCTGCCTTTGTCGGACTCATCAATCTGCGCTACCTAAACCTTGGTATGTGTGGTCTGAAGGACATCCCCAACCTGACGCCTTTGGTCCGGCTGGAGGAGCTGGAGCTCTCTGGAAACAGACTGGAGATCATAAGACCTGGATCTTTCCAAGGACTGGAGTCTTTGCGCAAACTGTGGCTCATGCATTCCCAGATGTCCGTCATCGAGCGCAATGCATTTGACGATCTCAAGAGCCTTGAGGAGCTGAACTTGTCGCACAATTCCCTTCACTCTCTGCCCCATGACCTCTTTACCCCCTTGCAGAAGCTGGAGAGAGTTCACCTCAACCACAATCCCTGGGTGTGTAATTGCGATGTTCTTTGGCTCAGCTGGTGGCTGAAGGAAACGGTACCGAGCAACACAACCTGCTGTGCTCGGTGCCATGCACCACCCTATCTGAAGGGCAAGTACATCGGCGAGCTTGACCAGAGCCATTTCACCTGCTACGCCCCTGTCATTGTTGAGCCTCCCACAGACCTCAATGTGACCGAGGGTATGGCTGCTGAGCTCAAGTGCCGCACCGGGACCTCCATGACCTCCGTTAACTGGATCACACCCAATGGTACACTGATGACCCATGGGTCATATCGTGTCCGAATCTCTGTGTTGCATGATGGCACTCTGAACTTCACCAATGTAACCTTGCGTGATACTGGCCAGTACACATGCATGGTGACCAACGCAGCTGGAAACACCACAGCAACAGCTGTACTGAATGTCACCGCAGCAGATGCCAGCATCAACTACACTTACTTCACTACTGTAACTGTGGAAACTGTGGAATCCACAGGAGAAGAGGATTCTGCCCTGCGTTCCATCAACGAGACCATCATCCACATCCCTGGACCGACACCTTCTGGGCGTCTCTGGCATGATGTGATCCCGACCACTGCCTCATCTCTGTCGGTTTTTGGCTCTTCGTCCTCTCCCCGGGCAACCAAACCCACCTTTACTGTACCTGTCTCTGAGCCCAGCTACCCTTCGGGCCTGGATGACGTGATGAAAACCACCAAAATCATCATTGGCTGCTTCGTGGCTATCACCTTCATGGCGGCTGTGATGCTGGTGGTTTTCTACAAGCTTCGGAAACAGCACCAGCTCCACAAACACCATGGACCAGCGCGGGCTATAGAGATCATCAACGTAGAGGATGAGATCGGAGCAGGAGCCAGCGTCCGAGGCAGCGGGATCAGCGGCGGCTCGACCGTGCCCCAGGTCGGATCCGGAGGAGGAAGCCAAAGCTTGCGGCTGCACCACCCAGAGATTGTCAACTTGCCCAACCTTGCTCGAGCGGAGCACCTCAACCACTACTACAAGCCCCACCACTTCAACAACAACATGATGGGTCTGGGCCTCTCTGGAGGCTCTGGTGTTGGCCTCAACAACAACAACAACCCTTCTTCTTGCTCCCAGTCCCAAACCACACCCATCTCTTGCGCCCAGGTGCCTGTCTCTATGGGCAGCGTGCCATGCTCCATTCCCTCCTCGATGCCCCTGCCAAACCTCGGTATCCACGGGTCACTCAAAGGCCTGATAGGTAAAGGGCAGAACCCTCAGATCGAGCCCCTGCTTTTCAAGAGTGGCTCCAAGGAGAACGTCCAAGAGACTCAGATCTAAAACAGGAAGAGAGTGAGTGAGAGTGAGAGCGAGAGAGAGAGAGAGAATGAAAGATAGGGAGATGAAAAGAGGAAAGAATAATGGAAAGATAGCATCAGGAAGACAGTAACAGATGAAGGGCACTGGCTGTTCAGCCCCCGTGGGTATGTTCTCAGGAGTAACGAGCGAGGTAGACCCAGCATTGTATGACATATTACCTACACAAGAATAAGACGTAGCTGTGAACCACTACAAAGTCGGCACTGCGACGACACAGAGTGGGTGAAAGAGGAAGGCAAGACCACCACACCGCAGTTAGGATAATGTTTTTTACTTTTTTCCATACCACACTGATCAGTGTCGAAGCGAACGTGCTCCCACAGCAGCACACAGTACAGTATCAACACATTCGAATTTAAGATCAGCATCATGTGCCAAACTTGCACAGATCCGTGCCAAAGCAGAAATCTTTGCGCATCAGCGTCACGAAGCATGTCCACTATCTCACAGAAAGGGTCGAGAACAGTGTCAGTGTCTGTACACCTACGCTGACATGCTATGAGACACTGCACAGTATGCATTAGAAGATCTGTGTTCATGAATTCATGAACAAAATCTTTAAAAAAAAAATAGATATATACATATATATAAATATATATAGAACACAAGCAACGGAAAGTATTTTATCTTGTGCGTAAGCGTTTTAGAGTGCCAAGGGAAGCCTGGGACGACAAAAGGGAATGACTGTACTTGAAGGTTTGCAGTAGCATTCAGGGTGGACGGTGGATTAGACAGACCAGCACTGTGTTGAGGGCTTGTGTTTCGTTCTGATGGACTCTGCCATATTCTCACTTTCTCCTCCCTTTGAACCTTCTTCTTGAGGTGAAAGGAAGAGAGAGAGAGGGGAAAAAAAGACAAGATTTTTTCGAAAAAGAACCTTAAAGGGCAAAAGACATTGATCTTACACTAAAGAGAAAAAAATAATAAACTGTGAAAGTACACATGATATATAAATATATTTTCATTCAGAGAAATAAATTATGAAGAATCTTTAGCATTTTTTTTTTGTTTGTTTTTGGTTTCGTTTTCTGACTGAAAGCCACGGCTCTTGAAGAATCGAGCAGCTGCAGTTGTAGCGCTTTGACACTCGGGAGAAACCTTTAGTCTGCTTACAAACCGACAACACGGCGGAAAACCTCGCGGTCGTCTGTGGGACACCAGGCGGTCATGGACAGGGTGGGGGGGTGGGGGGGGGGTTGGCGGGGAGGGTATTAAAATTCAGGAGATTGTGTCTGACTACTGCTTATTTTTAGTCCTTAAATCCTCTTCCCTTTTCTTGTTGCATTCTTACTAACAGGGTCGCTGAAGAAGAGTAACGTTTGTTTGTCTTTTACAGTGGAATTGTAACGGATTATAAACATTTTAGTGACACAGAGCGGCTCGAGCGGGGAACAAATTACCAATACCGATAAACTATGCTAACCATAATGCAGATAATACAGTAATAGGTAATGTAATGAGAGCAAAATGTGAATTTTTATCTAAATGCTGCTATACAGAGAGATATTTGATGTGCGGAAAAGTGAAACGATTTAATCTGTCCCTCTATATTGAATAAGAGTAAATATAATATTATTGATATTGCAGTTATTATTATTATAACTATAAAAATGCTTATATGTCAGCTGTTTTTTAATCATTATTATGATTATTATTATGATTAATTTGTTTCCTTTTGTATCCAGAGGTGATGTTTGTATTTCATTGTGCTAGAAGTGATTGTCACTACAGCATATATTCCCTGAGGGATTACAATTACAATACGATGGCAGGAACTACAACCACAGATTTGCTCGGAAAGCAGCAACATTCCCCCGAAAAAGTGGAAAAAGGGTATCGAAAACGGGCTCTCCGGCTCTCCTGTTCCTTCTGTTTTGTACAAGAACTCAACCAGGAGCCTGCGTTCCTTTTTTGTCCCCCCCTATGTGATTGAACATGTTTCCGAACAGAACACAGACTCTGATGAACATCACGGACGGGAGTACAGTGGATTACAGCGAATCACTGTGTTCTCTAACGCGGACGGACGCAGGATACGAGCAAAGACTCTGAGGGCTAATGGAGGACAGGATTTTGAAGCGTTTGACAGGTAAGAGAAACCCAACTCAGTGAGCGAGACCACGCTAGACTGGAATAAAAGAGTTTGGCGAATCGTTTTTTGTTTTTTGTTTTTTTAAAATGGAAAAAGGACAAATAAACGACTATAGAAACTTATAGAGCTCTTTTAAAAACAAACCTATTATGATAAGTGTCTTTCATTATTTGTTTTTATCTAGTTTGATTTTTTTTTTTTTTGTTGGTTTGTTTTCTTTTTTTTTATTAAAAAAAAAGATCAAGTGTTATCTTAATTGTAATATTGTTATTGTTATTATAATTAGCTAAGGTTACACTGGTTATTATGAGAACTATTCTGTTAGCAGAAGTCACTTCGAAATTAAAAAGAAACATGGCACACGAAAAAATGGCAAGTGGAACAGTGAAACCGTTCATTTTTGGTTTTGAGTTTGTGTTTTTTGGTTTCCGTTTGTTTTTCTTGCTTTTTTGTCTCTCGCTAGCTGATGTAACCGAGGTAACACATTTCCCATCATACGTGCACACGTAAGAGATGCTGAGGTGCGGTAGCTGGTGGGGGGCGGGGGCAGGGGGATGGGCGTTGTGTACAGATGGAGGGATGACAGAGAAAGAGAGAGAGAGAGGGATCTGTGCCTGTTCTCAGAATGACACCCATTATCAGTGCCAAGAAGTGCGACTGCGCCATGTCAACACCCTGTTGCCTCGGCAACACGCCTTCGAATTAATGAGCCAAACTGCATCAAAGCTGGGGTGCCATCTCTTCTGCTCCCTGCATTGGCGTTCATCGACCCTCTGCACCTGAAAAACACATACACAGGGTCATACATACGTCCCATACGTGTGTGTGTGTGTGTGTGTGTGTGTATATATATATATATATATATATATATATATATATATAGGTAATTATATATGTGAACACATACATACATACAGTATATATGCACATATACATATAAAGGTAGGTACCTGTATGCTTAATGTTCTAATCGTAACCTTTTATAAGATTATAAACTGTCCTTTACAAAATTAGGCCAAAAACCTTGTTGTTTGTGTTCTTTTTTCTGTTTTTCTTACATAGTCAGGACATTTTTTGTCCTCAAAATGTACGAAAAAACAAACACATGCAGAAGCATCGCCTCCTCTATGTCGCTGCTTTGCGTCCACCGAGAGCTGGAGTGGCCCAGCATCTCCACAGGTTCCTACGGTGAGGTTTCCCTGGCAACTGTTGCCGCTGCGACGACAGTCCCCCATCACCCAGCGTTCGGGTCTTGGATGCAAATGTGAGGACAGAGGCAGTGCAGAACGGCGTTTTTCCGAGTAATGTCGCTGCCAGGGCTGCACAATATGAACCAAACACAAAATCCCTGTTATATTGATACATATTCCACACTGCAGTTGTGACAGCATACTAAAAACATGCTGGACGTGACGCGGTTGAACACTCAAGGGGTAGTTTGTCACACAAGCTGGAGACATATTGTGATTGAATGGAAATATGTGGCATAATTAAATTAAGTTCATTCACTGAGCGAAGATCGGCCTGCATTGTTTTGATCAGAACGATAGAGATTTGTGGGGCCTTGATTGATTTAAAACACTGGATGCACATCTGGGATTGGTCATGATGCTCATAGCACGAGGAGAAATGTCCAGTTACAAATAAGAGGATCATTTTCATGTTGCAGACTTCTGCGATATCAATAATGTGAAGGCTGATGTCTAGAGGTGTCATGATTCGGTTCACAGTTTGATGTTCTCAAGGTATTTTTAACAAAATATAAATTAAGAAAAATGATAACTGTATTCATGTTGCTAAGTCACTGAGTGCATTTACATGCAGTCAATAATCCGATCATAATCAGATTTCTGCAGTTCTTATGAACAGCATACTAAGGTCTCTAAATTTGATTAAGAAATCTGATGAAGAGGCTGGATTTTAGCTCAGTCATCAGATTTCTGAGTGCATGTAAACTCTTACTCTGATTTCTTTCAGATTTCTTAGTATGAGCATTTGCGAAAACAGACTGCTATAACGGAAATAATCGAGCAGCCGCGAAACACAGCAAAACTCTTTTAGGGCAACACTGAAACCAAATAATGCTTGACAAAATGAAGGATTTAAATATTCTTCGTCTTCTAGATGTTGTGTGTTCATATGTTCAGGTAAAGAGCCACGGCATGAAGTTTGAGTTTTACATTACGTTTACATCGCCTCGTCTTCTGCGAGTTTATTGGCTGGTTGTAAAGCAGAAATCTGATCACTGTCTGACTCATGTAGACCTGGAGTTTCACGTTATCTGATTACTCAAGAGCATGTAAACACGTTGATTGGATTACTGACAAAGTCTGATTTTCTGCAGTTATCGGATTATTAAGTGCATGTAAAGCACTCACTGTGACTTATGAAACTGAATAGGTTGACATGGTTGCAACCTATACAAGTCATATAGGGTCTTATAGTGATGTTCTGTGTTGTCACAAGAACCAGCTGATATGCATATATCCGTCTATTCAATCTACTGCGGTTTAGCCCCGCCTACTCACACTGAAGTTATAAGGAGTGTTTCAGCGTTTTATATGAGAGCTCATTTACATACATCAGTCTTAAAGGCACAGTAATGAAAACACCCCGTTTAATTCTAATGAACTGATGTTGAAAAATTGTCATGTAAAAATTAATTGACCAATTTTGGTGCATAAAATCACCCAATTGTTATAAGAGCAATAAAATAATATACAAGGAAAATATAAGATATGGGTTTTCATAGATCTCTGAACTCCTCATTTTGTAGGCAGCATCTTGTCTAAGTGTTTTGCTCTATGGAAAAAAAAATGAATGCTGTTTTTGGAAATCGCCGCTATCACAACCTGTAGTAAACAAAATTGTTTGAAAGCTGATGGTTTTGTCCCTCCAAGTAGTTTACAGTGTTAGACTTACTTTCATGCAATTTGAGTTCAATGCACAGGAGTGTTAGCTTGCTTGTAGAATGGATGTAGCATTATTCATATTTTGACCCCTTAACAACCTCATAATTCAGAGGATCCTGTGATACCGTGGGAGAAATATGCTTAGAACAAAATGAATTAGGAAAATTTTTGTTCACTACGTAGGGTAATATCAAAAATGCCATGCATTTTCTCCCATAGAGAATCTGCTTAGACCCAGAGTTCTTTATTTGGGTGTGACATCAACTTGAAAAATGACTCAGGAGTTAGGAGGTCTATTACATATTAACCCCTTAAAATCACAGGTTTATTACGTAATAAGGCTTATTATTCAGTAACTACAGGGACCTCAGTGAAAACTGGCTGAGCTATTCTTAGGTGACAGAAGATTGTAACAAAATTTTGGGCCCACTGGTGAGCTCTGGCCATTCAAGTGGCTAACAAAATGTAGCTCATATTACCTGTCAATAGCTAAGTTTACATGCAGCCTATTAATCAGTTAATAATCCGACTAACAGCTCAATCGGAATAGAATACGTCCATGTAAACACCTCAATTGGAATAGTCTAGTCTGATTGGGGCCATTCG